GAGCTATTTTTGCTAGTTGTATTCTAGTAATTTTTATTTTTTATTTGCAAATCAGAAAAAAATGAAGAGGCGAATCCGTTAACCAAGAAATTAAATTGGTGTGGCCTAATCTAAACCAAATTACATTTCCTTCATGTATAACTTTAGGTTTTCTAAACTTAATGATTCTCCTAAATTTCCAGATATAATGTAACCTAATAACTATTCTTAAAATTAACTTTTTCATCCTACTATCAAAAAACATGGATATTACATTCTATTGCAATGATTTGAGAATTGTGACATTTAACTGAAATGATTTGCTTCATCACTGGTCATGTGTACATGTATCCACCACCCTAAGACTACACCAATTTAATTTGTTGGTTCTCGGATTCGCCTCTTCATTTTTTTTTCTGATTTGCAAAAAAGAAAAGAAGATTCTGGCTTTGAATCAACTCAAATATGCTGATATTTTGCTCCCAACAGTTGAGGAAAGTCCTTTTCTTCCTACATGTAGTTCTTACTGTACAGTTTTTCCATCTATCAATGCAGTGGTTTGATTAGAAGTTCAAAATTCATTGTTTAAATATTAACCCAGCCTTTTGTGTTGACTTCATGGCTCCTTCGTGGCATTTTGGGCTATAATAGGATCATGCCTAGACCTGTTTTTATTTTATTTTTTCCCCTGTTGCTTCATATTTTTTTTCTGAAAAAAAAATCCGAGAACCAACAAATTAAATTAGTGTGGCCTAACAAAATTTGTCTAAAGAGATCTCCAATCTAACATCAGCTGGTATAATTCACTCCAGGACCTGCATATTTGGGGGAAGCTGCACTAGAGTTCTTTTAAACACACATTTAGTTTGAAAATGGCAGATATATGTAACCCTTCAGATAAACGTTAAAGGCACCCAAAGCAATTTTAGGGCAGTACGACTTGATTTTCAAAGTCAATTTTCTGATCATGTTTTTATGTTGAATCAAACTACCCCATTGCATAAAGATATCTTTGAGACACAAATGCAATGTCAATGATGAAAAACTGCAAAACAGTTGCTTTTTTTTGTATCATAGCTATAGGCTGGTTCTAGCTATTTAAAGGTGGTACCAAAAAATAAAGGGACTTCTTGCATGGCCTTTTAGAGGCTATTTGAAATGCTTTAAGTATGAAAGAAAAATGTGTTAAGAAATGGCAGTAAATGTCAATATCAGACAGATTTTCTCATCCAGAATAATATTTTGGTATTGCTGCCCTGAAATTGCATTGGATGCCTTTTAATGCTGAGGTCGCATTTCTCAACCGGGGCCCGGCCGGGCAGCTTTCAGGAATGAAAAGTACCAAGTAAAACACAACACAAACGAAAGTTTAAAAGATAATCAGAAGCAATACCATTTGTGTATATTCCTGATAAGAATTGTTGATTTTTTTGTTCATACAAACAGCCCGGCCGGGCCCCGGTTTGGAAATGTGACCTCAGCATAATGGAGGATAGGTGTGACAGGTTCATTAGTTGTTGCGACAGTTGATGATCAGAGTCCAAACACCCTGTCCAGGTTGGAGTATCTCTGCGACTTCCACAGCTTGTACTTGTTGGTGTCAAAGTAACTCTGAATGACAGCATTGCCTGTGTTGAAATAAACAATGGGAAAATGCAACACTGTAAGAAAGTTGGGGCAAGCAAAACATACATGTGTACAATGTATGCTTGAAGTGCCAGTTATCATTAATCATCTGTAATATGGCTATATTTCTACAGCCAGAAAACACAATATTTTGTACTCTTTGCATTGAATTTCTTTATATATATAAAATGCCTACTTTTTGTAATTTCATCTCTGCTTAGTATCCATCATGATTATAAAAAACAAAACATGAAAAACTTCAGATCTGCAATTCTATCCATGGGCATGGGCATTATTTCTGTATACATTTCAGAAGGTTTTTCTGTTTGTTTGAGCCTTTGTTTGTTAATGAAATATATACTTAATCTGCCTGCTGGGTGCTTTTCGTATATCTGTCATATATAACAGCATATTTACCTTCGATAGACATCTCTAGTGGAGCCTCAAATCTAACAATGGATGGTTTCATCAGCTCCTGCAAGCACTCAAACAACTGGGGGAAAAAAGAAGAATTTTTCAAATCAGAACAAGGAGTCAGAAAGTACAGATTTCTGGGAAGCATGCAGTCCTCAGCTTTTCTGAATTCCCCACAAACATGTCTTGGCAAAGGCCCTCCCTGACAGTTATAGTACAGTCAAACCTGCTAAGGTGACCACCTCTTCAAGCTGGCCAACTGGCCATGGTGACCGCTTTTTCTCGGTCCCAAAAGCATTAAGCAACCTGTCCAAGGTGACCACCTGTCCAACGTGACCGCAACTGCCCTGAGTTGGATCTGCTAAAGGCCCTATACCTGCCCATGTGACCACATCATTTTCGATCATGTTGAATATTGATGATAGATAATGAGAAATCATGGAGAAACCAGTCAATTTGCCTTGACTGCTGATGCTGTTTTTGTTCAAAGTAAATTGTTCCATGTACCACCCTCCCCACATGCATTCCCCACACATCTGAAGATGCTTACAGCATTTGACATAAAAACATCTCGACTTGGAAACCATTTATGTCTCAGTCATGTTGTGAGGCGACCCTCTTCAAGGAGACCACCTGTCCAAGGTGACCACTTTTCTTTGGTCCCCTGGGTGGCCAGCTTGGACAGGTTTGACTGTGTGTATTAAGAGAAATGATCAAGGTAGAGCTAATGTAAACAATACTTACATCAATGCCCACATATTTGGGATATCCCATGACATTACAGCCCATGATGTGTATAACTGTAGTGTCAGGTTCCATCTTACTCATCAGGCTCCCTAGTGCCTTCCAGAAACTGTGTAGTAGGAACAAAACAGATTATTACATGTGTATCATAAAAGTTCACCTGTGTTGGTAGTTACATGGGGGCCCGCAAGCCCTTTGCCGTAGAGTGTAATCGGCCGTTTTAATTCTACGTAGAGCGTAGACGGACCGCTCTAATATTTTTGCATAGAGCGTATTCGGCGTTTTAATTCTACGTAATGCGTTGTAGCCACTTGGAATTTATCGTGAAGCGTAATCGAGAGGTTCCGAATTCTGGGTCATTCAGCGTAGAGCGTTGTCGGGACCCCCCCTTGCAGGCCCTCTTACATGTTTCAAGGCAAAACTGTTGTTCCAACACAAAAGGTAGACCAGCCACTCTGGTCTTCCTCAGTAGACTGACCCGGTGAGGCTTGCCTAAATGTGGCTTCTCTAAGTGTGATATCAACACATGGGCCAAAGGCATCTGGTAAGTTAAGTGAAGGCTGATTTACACATTGTTGACGTCACACTTCAGAGAAGCCATGTAACAAGTCTCACTGAAGAAGACCAGAGCTAGAGTGACTACTGGTCATTGTCAAAAGCTCTAGGTGAGAACAATTTCACCTTTAGTGTTGGAACAAAAGTTATACCTTGAAACAAAACAAAACAAAACAGAATATATTACTACGTAGCCTGGTCTCCAAACATATGAGCTGAGTCTCTTTTGTCTCAAATACTAAATTCTAATGCAGAGAGGAGAAAACAGCAAGCATTTAAAGCATCTACTATGGACAGATTTCAAGAATGCAGCAATAATCATTTGGTATATCTCAATTGAAGAAATCGTTGTACCATAACTTATAATACTGGGTAAACTTAAGTTCATCCAACAAGTTCCTCTAGTTTGCATTCCTCAAGACATTTTTCCTGTCCTTACCAAACCATGTCTCCGTGGCCTCCCTTCTTCAGTTTGGCGACTGTCGTCACCTTGTTTTTCTTCAGGTACAGATGAGCTGGACCTCCCTGAACAACACAACCATACAGTATACAGTAACCTTCAGTATGTAATGTACTACAGCAACAAAACTGGCCTATAGAGCCCCCATCACACTAACCGACCTCCCCACAAATCATCATGGTTCAGAGTAGTGGAAGCTTAGCTGGTGTTTGTTGAGACCAGCTTGTTTTTCTGAATGTTTCAAACCGTTGAAAAAATTTTGGAGTGGACAAGAGGTTGACTAGGGGAAGTGTTTTTGGTCAGGGGTAAAATTTGACTCAAATTCGATATGATTTGAATAGAAAGGTGTGCATGGACTAAATCTGCTAAGTCAATGCTCCCAAACTTCAGAGAACCTTTAAGTTTATTGACTGGTGGTCGGGGGAAGGTTCTGAATGCATGACAGGGGCTAATTATATTTTAACTAAGGCAGGCATGATTTTGTAGTGTGCAATTGAGTCTTCATATAATACATGTATATTATAGGATGCTTTCTCTGTGATTTATCTACAAGAGCTACGTGAAAATTTTAGTTTCCATCCAACAACAGTACTGAAAAAGCTGCTACCAGCAAAACTAGTCTGGTGTGGTTAATGTAAGAATGATATGTATGCTGTGACCAATGTACATGTATGTGTATGTTGTGATCATGATAGTTGACTAGAAGACTATCTGCCCTGTCATTAATAGGTTACATGAGCCATTAGTAAATAATTAACGTACCTGCATGTACATCAGCAAGGATTTAGCCTTGCATCCGGGACAATAGCTGGTCAACTTGCTTTGAATATCACCTGTTAACAACATTGAATTAGGTTATACAGAGAATGGTGAAGAAACATCAATGTTGTCTCAGAGCCATTTACATTTTACAACATGCAAGTTGTTTCAATCATGACATTTTGATCAACTAAGGATGAATTTGGCATCAGCTGAGTGTTTGTCTTTCATGTTGTGAGTGCAAAGAGGTTACTCTAGCTCTCTCTCTCTTTCCCTCTCTCTAACCTTCGTAGATAGAGGAAAAGCACAATGTCATACGATTTACATTTGTAGAAGAGTTAATAATCTTACCCAGTATCTTTTCAAAGCTGTCATTCTGGTGGTCCTGTAACAGACAGATAGGTACACAGTCATGTAGTAGATATTTTTTTTGCAAATGATACATGTAATGGTGTCTTTATGAAGATAATATTGTTAACAGGATTACAGCAGAACTAAAATGACTATTGTACATTGTATGTTTAAGTAACATACTTACATAGGGGACCACCAAGACAGAAGGATCTTCCTTCACAGTCAGAGGCAGAAACTTGGCCTTTGGTACAGTGGAGGATATCAGCTGCAACAAGAACGTCAAGTTGAACGCAACAATCACAGCGAAATTGTAACACTACATGTATGTACTGTCTGTCAGAGTATAGTTGACCAGGGTTCTAGACAGCTCAATTTTTTCGTCAGCCCAGGTTCATGTTCGTACGTGGCGGGATATAGCTCCAGGTCCAGGGCAAATTTTGGATTTTCATGGCATTTAGAAATACAGTTTCCCACATTTTGAGGGGTAAATCATGTGGCTAAAAGTGGCTGTCATCCTTTGGATGTTTAAAAATTTATATTTTACCCAAGATTTTTTTTACTAAACCCTTGGAACGAAAAATCATTCCTGTAAATATAATGATTATCTTAAATTAGTCTTAGGCTAGGACTTTTTCAACGATTGCAGGAACTTTGCGGCATTTGTCCGAAAAATTTTGAAACCCATCTGTCAACCTTGACAGACAAAATTGACAAAAACCTTGGGTACTTTAAATTTACTTTATCCGTCCACTGGGGTGTTGTGGGGAGGGACAGTTGGCCACTGTCTATACCAGAATCAACAATTATCATAGGGTAATAAAAGTCAAGTCCGGTAATTCTGTTATAACCGTTTTGGATTTTAAAGGATCTGCAACCTGCATCTTGTGATATTTTGTTTGACCCTGACTCAAGAACATCATATTCAATCCTACCCTTGCAATATGACCTCAATGAAAAGCGACCTGTAGGTCAATTTGAGTGCATTGCACTTCATGAATAAAAAAAATACTCATTTCAAACAAATATCTAGACTCCAATCCATTTCATTAATTGTAAACCCTTCTCAATGAATTTTCATTCATCTTTATTTATTCTTCTTTGCAATTCCTATTATAAGCACAGTGTTCCATATTCTTTTGGCCATTCATAATTGATGTGATAAATTATACAAAATGTACAATTGGTACATGTACATGTAGTCGTAATGTTAGGGTTGATAAGATGATTGTGAATAATCTGTTTCTATTGTCCAAAATTTATCTGTACAATGGGTATTTACTGTGATAGTAAACATTTGAGTTTGAATCAGCTTTCTATTACCGACTTCAAATTCCGAGTTGAGTCAAACGCAAAAAAGTTATTTATGACCGTTTTGAGAAAACATAATAATACTAAATTGTCCATTTTTTAAAGACAACTTTTATTATTTTTCTGACTCGAGTGCAGCAACAAACATTGACAAATTATCTGCCTCTCCCAACAAATGTGCCGAACAAAAGAAGAGAAGTCACACATGATTGTATGACATATTATATTGTGAAGATGCACAATTCTGACATTTTGGAAATATTTGTTATGTCCACATAGACAAAGAACATGTAAGAGAAAACAAATGTTTGGCAGAACAGTGCCCCAGGGCAGCGATAAATAAGGCTGTACCTGTCTAGCCTATCTCTGAGAACAGACAACTTGAAGATTTCATTGTGCTGGTAAAGTTCACTGGGCAAAGATGATGATAATGAACGTTCGCTACTTGGTTAATCCGTATTTAAAAAAAAACAAAAAAACTTCCACATGCAGAAAGGCAATGAAAATTTTTCTGTCAGTGAAGGTTAGACATCCAGGAAATAAGATGTGTCAAAAAAACAGATATTCAAGCAACTGGATATGATTTTGAAATTGGCCAGACTTTTCAGGTACGATGTAGCATCCACTGCGGACCCTTCGTCAGTGACACTGAAGTAACTGTTTTGATGAAACTTTTTCGTTTGGTAAAGAAATAAAGGACGATTTTGATCCAACCCCTTAAAAAAAAAGTGCACTCACTCAGTTAAAGTCTAGATATTTTTGCAATGATTCTTTGAGCTGACATAAAAAAACATGTGTTGGAGGCAACATTGCCAATTTCTTTGAGTTTCAAAGTTCCTGTGAACATTTGGCACTCAAAGACAACAGGAAAAACCTAAGTTAGTTACCACCAGTACTGATAATTATGTGACTGTCAGCAACTGATCAGTTACTGTCTTATTTCAGTAACATTTCAGTAAAAATAGCTTACTGAGTCATGACTGTAGTGTAACTGACTTAGTACTGATGCTTCCTAAGAATTATTCTGACTGATCTCTTAATGATGGTTACTGTCTTGAAAGTACTGAAATGCTACTGACAAATTTCACCACAATCTCAAATGTGTCTAACATTATAATAGCAAATAGTATTATATGTTAACAGATGGAGTTTTGTGCTTACCACAACTCTGGGAGGAGTGGGGAAGCCTCGTGCAGCGAGAGCCGCCTTCTCTTCCAGCTGTTCCCCCTTCCAGCGCAGACTCACAATGTCATCCTGGTACCCATCAATGTTCAGCTGGAGTTTGTCTCCTAATAGCACATATTAAACGGGACAAGTTAGTACTAACATTACGTACATATTCATAGGAAATTCAAACTCTACTACAGTAACTGGATAAATTATGGACTCCGAGATAGTTTCCGGATGTTTTGAGTGACATTCACCACAGTGACTCTTCTTCAGCATCACTAATGAACTAACAGAACTGTTAACACATATAAAAAACAGTTAAAAAGGCTCATATAGTCATTGATATGTAAAAAAGTTAAGGTAGTTCCATATGTTTTAAATTGGTTTATGTAAAATTGAAATCACATTGAAGGAAATCCTGTACAGGAGTCCTAGGGAGTAAACCCTAGCACAGAAAATCCAGGGAGGATCAAAACACCCCTGGCCAGTGATTTTCTGTATACAACTAAATGCTATTAATACTGGTAATATTTCTGTATCAGTCTCACTATGGATATCAAATTCAGAATAATACCTGTAAATAAGTCCTAGGGAGTGCACCCTGGCTGAAAAAGCCAAAAAAGTGGCCCATGTATCCTTGTGTGAATGTGTCTTAATTGTTATGTTATGTGCAATAAACTCATTAAAAATAATAACCAGGACAGTTATGTGTTCTCTCAGGAATAACATTTGGATTCACATTGGATGTGGCGTCGGGTGGTGTAGTGGTTAGAGCAATCGACTATGAACCGGGGAGACCCGGGTTCGATTCCGAGTCGTACCCGGTACATGTCTGAACATGCGCCCCGACGTTGTGCCCTTGGGAAAGGCACTTTACACGACTTTCCTCTCTCCACCCAGGTGTGAATGGGTACCTAACTTCGGTTGGGGAAAGTCGTATTGAGGTCACCTTGTGGCGCCGAATGGCAGCCGCACAGACCCTTGCGACAGTTCCACAAAAAATAATTGTGGAACAAATATGTGTGTCGTGTATTATTTGATTGTTGAAATTTGTATTGATTATTATGTGATACCCTGCATCAATTCAGCCGTATAAAGGCTGTGACTGCACGGGTACTGTTTGGACAATAAAAAACCTAAGGAGCTTTCTATTGATTCAGAAGCAATCAGCTTTCTATTGAATTTTAGCTCCATGATCCAACTTTAGGAAGAATTCATGGTAAACATACTTTATCATCCAAGAATAATCGTGATACAAAGTCATTACATCTTGTTTGTTTTTTTACGTCATTGTAGTCTGTCTAGGACTTTGACGTCATGTTTCAGCTGACTGGTTGGACCTGCTCCAGATTAACCAATAGCCAGTTGTAAGTAATGTCCACGGGTCACGCTTCTTTGGATAGGACTTCAAGATGGCCTTTTGTGTAGAACCCCGGTGATACAATACTGGTCTGCACGTGTTTTACCACGTTTTATCTTCTACATGGTAGGCAACGCCACAACTCTGCGGGCTACATACAGCCTACTAGAAACAACTTTGAAACTTTATTCAAATTTCCATCAGGACCACACTATACAATACTCAATACACTTAATACAATTACTACACCTTATACAATACAATACTGTAACAATAATTCACTACTGTAACACTAAACACAATACAATACAATTACTACAACAGGCTTAGCTGAAATCGATGCTTAACAATTACCAAATTATTGTATAATTTACTATAAACTCTCAAATAAGACAATTAGAAACTCTAATACTGGTACTATTTCTTGAATTTGATGAGCAATATAATATAATTATGATATTAATATCTGTATTTAAAAAGAACTTTAAAATATTTGTATGTACCTAGACCAATTGTCTTCAATGTCACAGTGCTTAATTTTGCATAGTGACTTTGGGTCACAATGACAAAGAAGATATGATGATGTTGTATTCTTGTGAGATTGTGTGGCATAATGGTTGGATATTTGGCCCTGGATTCGAATCCACTGACATGCCCTTTGCAAAAGGCACTTTATTCTGCTTTCCTCACTTCACTCAAGGGAAATTGAGTCCATAGCTAAAGTCAGTTAAGGACATCCCTTGGATAGGACGTTAAATGGAGTCAAGTGTCTGGGAAGAGCCACTCTCCACGCAATGTTAAAGAGCGCACCACACTTTCTTAAAACAGTAGGGGCATGCCCTGGTGTGCGATGGCCCAAAAACTACCATCTGATGATTCAATACAGACTCCAGGAAGACTATAAGAGTGAAATTTAATAATGAGAATCCTAATAAAACAAACAAACAAACCTATCTTCCACTCCAAGTCTTCGTGTTCCGGAGTGTCCTCTGTCCAGGGCTGTTCACGATGTTCTCTCTTCTCTTTACGATGTTGGAGGCTGACCAGGGAATCTGAGGACATGAAATGATAAAAAAGAATGCAATCTTACTAATAGACATTTTTGCAGCATAGATACAATAGAATATATGTTACTTAGCTTGACAAGAGTACAAAGAAAAAGGGAACAAAAATTGTAATGAATAGGAGGAGCTAGGAAATAAATTGGAAACGTGAAGTGTTCTCAGTTCATGGCTGACTCAACAGTAAGCTTTAAATAATACTATTCACACCACACATCACAGTTACTGTAATAATACTATTCACACAGTTCACCCTATCTGGTACACAGAACGATACATGTGCCCAATTCCTATATCTGCCTACATTAGGTCAATTTCTTCACACTGTACTTCATTCCAAAAGACCAAATCACCCATACATGACAGTCACTACATTTTATCTCACATATTGTTATCAATAATATTTTGTAATCATAGTTCAGTTTTGTAGTGCTGTTGTTTTATTGACATACATTCTACCATGTATGATTGTTGGCTAATAACCTCATTCATTCATTTATTTTGTACAAAGTGTACATTCATTCACGCAACCAACTATTCCCATCTTGGCCCCTGTCGGCTTTTTTAAAAAGCATTTCTTTCTTCTTTTACCTCCACAGCAAACAGTGCAGTAGGTAGATTGTCGGGGAGACAGAGAGTTCTCGAGGTGCAAATACTGCAGATCCTCTGGAGTGCTCTCTCCAGATTTCTCCTCAGTTGGAGATACATGTTGCCTATCAGAAGAGACCTCATTTTGCTCCGGAGTTTGTCTTTTCTTTTCTCTTGGGCTGAGACCTGTGAGAAATGCTGGGACTTGAAGAGGAAATGACACGCTGCACTCTGCTGTGTTCATGTAAGGAAGTAGGTTTTTACATCCAAGAGAAGACTGAGTATGTTGAGGCATGGCTTGCCTGTCCTTTGTTAGTCCTGGACTGGGAGTTCGAGGGGAGATATTCCCTGTTGACGTATTCTTGGTTCTTCTGCTTGAGTGGACAGAAATCCGACCGCTTGAAAGTCCTGCATTTGAGTTCGCTTGCCTTGTGTGTCCGCCTGGTCTTGGGCTTGGCGAACGCGGAGTTTTAGCCGATTTAGGCCTCGAAATCGACCTAACATGCCTCCTTTGTTCTCGAACCGCAATCGGCGATGCTGACTTCGGAGAAAGCTCTCTCGAGCGCGCCCTACGTCTAGTAGTTCTTGATCCGTGGGTGGTTGGTTGAAGAAAATCTCCATTCCTGGCTTTCGGATTCAACATTTTTACCTTGCACCGTCTGTTGTGTGCGTCTGCAGAGGCTCAAGTCTCCAGCGACTCTAAAAGAGCCAATAAAATGAGTAGCCATGACAAAGACAGGTGTAATAAACTGTTCAACTGAAGCTGGCATTTGTCCATTCAGACAGCCCGGTTCCAGAGGCAGTGTAGTATTAATGATGTGGTATTCATGTGTCATTTACCAATTTATCTTTTGTAAATGTCATTGACTTAATTACTCTCCCCAGACCAGAGAAATACAAAGTGCATAACCGAACACCTCAAGGCACATGTGTAGTAGGTCGAGCCTGGTAGGTCGTGTAAAATTCAAAGCATGAATTTGATAGACTAAGTACATTCTTTATCACATGATACAAGTTTTGAATAAAAAAACGGAGAAAAAAACATGTAGCAGGGTAAAATCATTTAATATATAGCTGTCTGTCTGAGGTCAAAAGTGCAGGACATAAATTTTGTATCTCATGTCAGCTGGGTAAGGGCACAAGCTATCAAAAGAAGCCGGGCAATAGTTACTGTTGTAGTAGTAGTATTGGCTGGTGCATAAATTTCCACCATTGGAATAAAAGTATGTAATTTGTTAAAAAGAATACTATATGCTGAACTATACATTTGTATGGATTTCTTGAACCAATTTGAAATATTTGTATGGTTTTGTTTATTTAGTCAGGTTGGCACAGAAGATTGTGTAGAGGCAATGATGAATTTCATATTCCTTAACCTATATACCTTTTGAAAATGTCAATGTGATCTAGTCTAGCTTGTACCTGAAAGTAAGCTGTACAGAGTGTCCATATGAATACAAAGGGGTCACCATACACATGTATGGGCACGTGTTCAGAGATCTAGAGAGAGCACATCGGCAGAACATGATGCACCAAAAATGCCATTTCTGTTGGAATTTTTGTTGCAGCAGAATTTTGTCCATTGCATATATTTTCGGACACAACATTTGAAAACTACAATAGCATGTAGCCTCCATAACATGCCAAAAACTGGGGGGGGGGGGTCTTTGGGAGCTTTTAGGTACTATTTTCTGATTGCATACAGACAACATAGCCAGCCTGGTTGAATTACCCCCGTTTTTTAGAACTGGGCTAATCAGAAAACAGCCGAAGACCACCAAAACCCCCAGTTCTATATGCCTGCTAGATAGGCTAGATAGCATGTCACCCTTTAAATATGCAAAGATCTGCAAAAGTGCTATGCACGGATTTTTCACAGGTGCAGCACATTATACCAACGTGCCAAGAGGACGTTGAACTAGAAAGAGGACGGTGGTATTTGTCAAACGAGACAAAGAACTATGGAGGACCTTTATGATGCCACCTGACCAGGTGGATAAATTGAACTGAAGTGACGTGACATTGTCAGTGTCCAGTGACTCATCCCTCAGCACAGGTAGTAAACCTGTCAGCCAGGTGACTCACTGGAAACTTTATACCTGGGCACAAAAAAGGTCAGCTGTAATGTTTATTGTTGGTGTCATAGTAGCCTGCAGTACAGTGCATTACCGTAGTTAGGCGCCACACCAATTTAATTTGTTGGTTCTTGGATTTTTTCAGAAAAAATATGAAGCGATAGGGCGAAAAAAATAAAAAATAAAAACAGGCCTAGGCATCCTATTATAGCCCCAAATGCTACGAAATGAGCCTTGAGGTGAACACAAAAGGCTGGGTTAATATTCAAACAATGAATTTTGAACTTTTAATCAAACCACTGCATTGATAGATGGAAAAACTGTAACAACTAGGAAGAAAGGGACTTTGTCAAAAAAGAATTCGCTTCATATACAATTTGGCATCATTGGAAGGCATTCAGCACCAAGGACAGACATATGAGTAGAGATAGTAAAGAAACAATTTGACATCTCTTATAAACTTAACACAGCCCTGGCAGAAAGTAGAACTTTGCTTCATATACAGTTTGGCCACCATTGGAAGATATTCAGCACCATGGACAGGCATAAGAGTAGAGATAGTAAACAAACACTGTGATATCTCTAACCAACTTAACACAGCCCTGACTGGAAGTTGAACCTAATTCAGTATACAGTTTACCATTGGAAGGCGTTCAGCACCAAGGACAGACATATAAGTAAAGATAATAAAGACACACTGTGGCATCTCTAATTCAACTTAACACAGCCCTGACTGCAAACTGAACCTAATTCAGTATACTGTTAACCATTGGAAGGCATTCAGCACCAAGGACAGACATATGAGTAAAGATAGTAAAGAAACACTGAGGCATCTCTAATTCAACTTAACAAAGTCCTAACTGGAAGTGGAATTTGCTTCATATACAATTTGGCATCATTGGAAGGCGTTCAGCACCAAGGACAGACATATGAGTAGAGATAGTAAAGAAACACTATGACATCTCTAATCAACTTAACAAAGTCCTGATTGGAAGTAGAATTTGCTTCATCTACAATTTGGCATCATTGGAAGGCATTCAGCACCAAGGACAGACATATGAGTAGAGATAGTAAAGAAATACTGTAACAATCAACTTAACAAAGCTCTGGCAGAAGGTAGAACTTTGTTTCATGTACAGTTTAGCTACCATTGAAAGGCATTCAGCATCAAGGACAGACATATGAGTAGAGATAGTAAAGAAACACTGTGACACATCTAACCAACTTAACACAGCCCTGACTGGAAATTGAACCTAATTCAGTATACAGTTTACCATTGGAAGGCATTCAGCACCAAGGACAGGCATATAAATAAAGATAGTAAAGACACACTGTAACATCTCTAACCAACTAACATAACAAAGCCCTGCCTGGAAGTAAAACTTTGGTTAGTATACAATTTGGCTACCATTGGAAGGCATTCAGCACCAAGGACAGACATTATGTGTATAAATAAAAACTTGTCTCTAATGAACTTATGAAAGCCCTTAGAAAACAAAGAAGACATTCACTTGGAATAATTCTTAAATGGCAATTGCTTTTGAATTATTGCACCATTGTACATAACTGTATATTTCACTAAACATGTAATTTTGTATATTGTAATATGCATTCTATGTATGTCTAATAATTTTCATCTTTCCCCCAGGGTGTCCCTTAGTAACAGTCTTTGACTAGTTGGGACTCCCTGGCTTCTTTGTAAGCCAAATAAATGAATAAATTAGTACCTACAATGGTAGGAAAAAATATAGTACATTCTCATGTCGACTATACTAAAAACTAAATGTTGTGTAATTCAAGTACTTTGTTGTTATAGAAAAGTGCATACCTGAGATCTTGCTACTCTTGCTTGGGCTTGGCGAACTTTGTCCTTTGACCTTTCCCCCTTTCTGCTGACCTGCTGTGGTGCTGTCTGCAGTAAGAGATGACATTGACCCTTGACCTCTTGTGTTATTGGCTGCATCCTCTGCTGACACCTGACCTGGTTTCTTATTGGATGATCCATCTGATGACCCTTGACCCTTTTCACCTTTGCCCTCCTGGGTCTGGGTAGATGTTGTTCCAGCGCTATCAGGTCGTGCCTGGCCAAATTTTCGGATCAAAAGTGGCGACCTTTCGCCAACAGGGTCGGCCAGCTTTGCTCTTCTTGGTGACCTCTGACCCATCCTGGGGCTGGGTACTGGTGATGCCGTGTTCCGAGATGGTCTTTCGTGTAGGACTGCTTTCTTCACAGTCAAACAGTGACGTCTAAACTTCCTGCATCAACGGTGAAGATAATACTAGTATTAACTGACAGTGCAGTAACTAGAGTATGTCGGCAGAATGTACTACACCTGCGTGAAACCCGTAATGTATTGTGTATAGCACTTCGACGGAACGTCTCGGTTGTATTCGCGCATATAAAGTTAACACTCCGTCTGTAGTTTCCAAATGTTATGTAGGAAAAAATATTGTCTGCAACAGGCAAAATTCTAATGCAATGTTGAAGAAATGTCCCAAGAAAACTGTGAAAAATGTTTTTTTTTTGCAGGCTCAGTACGTTCTGCAGATGTGCTAGTAACTGGTACATTGTTGTCTGATCTTGTGCCCAGGGACTGATCTCATGCCCGGAGTGCTGTGAATCGGTCGGCCGTTAATGTTTAAGCATCACTTATGACATCATTATTCACCATTGGTACGGCTATGGCATCATATCCAATATGAAATAGGAACTTCAGATTGGTTCTCTATCTGGCTTATGATGATATAGTGTGGCAATCATGCTGAATCGGGCTAATAATACAGTTACAGAGCAACCCTACATGTGTGTCATGCAAGAAACTTGCAATTAAAGAAACGGGGTAATGATACTGGTCTAAATTACAAAGCTGTCAAAATGACAATTTTTACTGCAGAATAAATACAGCTTTTAGGCCAACTCAAGTTGCTATCATCTAAATATAAATCATATTAGGAACATGCTGAGATAATAGGGACTGCAACCAAGCAATGAAACATCACAAATATAAATACTCGAGTAGATGCAAGTTTTTCTTTATCAAGAGAATGGTCTAAGGATAAAATTTCTAGCAACTTGCAGTACAAGAAATACTCATAATTGCTTTCCTTGTCCTTCAGTTTGAAATTTGTTGTCCCAGAAATTTTCTTAGGAATTCTAAGTGCTGTTTGTTGTAGATAACTGTTGTCATGCAACACCAGAAAACAACCACATACCTCTGGATGAGCCGTGCCATTCGCTGCTCTGTCTCTAAGTCTTTCCGCGTCCGATAGCCACGGAACCATCTACAGGTAAACAAACACAAACAAATTATCAAAGCATTGTTATCAAAGATGAATAATATCTAGTTTCTTACTGTGAAATGGCGAGCAACCATAAAAAAACTTTACGCAGCAAACTTTCAGTATCCTAACAAACTTTCAATAGATGAACCTGTAACAAGTAAACAAAATCTGCTGTTTGAAATTAAACAAGTGTATGTAGACATTTTAAGGGGAACTTTTAGGTTACAACAGGTTACCTAAACCTATTCTTCTCATATAAAAACTCATACTATGGCAAGCCTTACCTGCAGTGTTTACATGATTTATAATGGGGAAAGAACTGGGCGAGTTGAAAGTCTTCAAACATGTTGGAAAGAGTCTTTTTGCATCTTGCTTTTCACAGTGCAAAAGGACTAGTCTGACAACATATATCATCAGAAAAGTCTAATTTAGGCACTATGTAATTGTAGAGTTACCAAAAAGTATTTTAGGGAGATGGCATTTTTTGGAAAACTTTTTTTCCAGTTTCATGTACCAAACATCAACAATATTTGAAAAAGAAGGCCGTTTCACTTTGAAATCCTGGAAAACAGTTCTAGCAAAATCACTTGTGACATAGGAAAAACATTACAGATTGTAATGTTACTAAACACTTTTCCTTGAATATAACATGGGACAGTCCACTCAAGAGCGACACTATCTATCATTTGCAATTACGGGTATCATTTTTTCTGCTAGTGACCAAGCCATTCATTATTTTGTACCATGGCTACAAAGATAATCATTTTTCTAATTGGCCATAATCACTACCATTAGGCATAATCAGGAAAGGTTATGCTATGTCCATGGTAACTGGTTGAACAGGTTTCAAAAAGAACACCAGAGAGAATGATGAAAATGTAGGAGTTTAAAATGGTAAGGTTTTTTAGGCCATAGGGACAGTGGGTTGTTATATTAGTCCACTCCATGGTGTCTAATACTAAGTAAGGCACGGTATTAGAAGGTGGAGCCCATCCTTCTCTTTCCACTGCCTTTTACCTCCTCAACTGAAGTCAGGTTAACCTAAGATCACGTCCTCCGAGGCTCTGGCCTGGCTGTAGGCCTGGGTAGTCCATGGTAGTTGGAGATAATACAGAGCCAGACATCCAGGCTACTGAAGATCCAGGACTCAAGAACTCAGTACATTATACAGTGCCGATTCATAAATTCCGCTTAAAGCCAACATGTGCCAGCAAGTCGTGTACGTTGCTATGTACATGTACTGCCGCAAATTCACAACACCAGCTTTGTATTCCTGTGATTTTGTAGCATTTTTATTTTTGGCCAGAATTTTTTTTATTTGCCCACGCGCACTACATGTAGTTTGGGGGTCTTTAGAGGATGTCATCCATAAAATTAAGTTGGTGTGGCCTTAGCCTAAATACCATTTAGTCTTTTAGCACCACTAAAAATATTTAATGTGACATTGTATGATTGTACCTTTGAATGATAACTGCTGCTAGTACCAGCTGTTTCAGCTCTGTTGCTGTGTATGTCCGTTTGGGCTCTTCTGTGATGTACCCATCATGCGTGGTAGCAACGGTCTCACCTTTGAAAAAAAGACAACAGAATAAAGTTAACAAATGCTCCTGCAGTTCCAATCACATCTTCCCTAACCTAAGAGATACATACCATCCAAATTTCGTGACCCTAGAATGTACAGATCACGAGATATCAAAACTGGAAGTTCAGCTGCAGTACCATAACAAGTCGCCAGGGGGTCCAAAATCTAATCATTTAGAAGTTTCTTATCAAGACCTACCTACCTACCAAATATCAAAGACTTCTTGAGTTATCGTGTTCACACGCACAAACACACACACACACACACACGCACACACACACACACACACACACAGACACACACACAAAGACACACACACACACACACACACACACACACACACACACACACACACATACACACAAATGTCACTGAAATGAAAAAGCATGCCATATAGTGAATAGAGGACAAAAATAGGTTAACTAGCATAAACTGACAGAATATAATAAATTATGTTTAAAATTGCTACAAACATAATTTATTTTAGCCTGTATTTTTAAGATGATAATATTTGATGCTGTTAATCATTATTCCTTCAAAGTTGTGTGACATTGACTGTGTAACAATTCATAACCAACCATTCTTGTTCCCCCCATTCAACAGGTGTCTGTCTGCTGGTCTCTCAGGCTGCAGTACTGCATCTTGTTGCATGGTGGTGCTGCTGTTACCATTTGTACCTTGAAAAGAAAGTTTTGCATTAAAAAAACATGTTTCCAGCTATCCCATGACCCTAGCTATGGATAAAACCCTATGTTCTTTCTAATATTAAATTCTTGGAGCTTACTTAAGGAAAGTTAGAGGACAACTTTTTCTTGATCAAAAAAATGATTTACTTGACACTTTTATTACAAACTGACAGTTGTATCTGTAGATAAAACAATCTACTTTTATATACAATGCATATTAACCAAGAAAAATATTATTTTATACGTGTACTAACCATTTGTACCATGACCATTTTCTGTTTCTTTCTGCTGCAGTACTGGTTCTTGCTGCAAGGTGGCACTGTCATTACCTGAGATCAACAAGATTTAGAATATCAAGAACAAATTATTTTAAGACAATGGCTTAAAAAACAAAACTTCTAAAACCTGAAGTAAACTCTTCTTACTAAAACTACAAAAATACAGTCAATTTTAGGAAATATGCATGACAAACAATAATCTCAGAAAGGTTCACGGTAGCAAAAGTACACGGTCTGAGAAAAATGGACGTGTTCACGGAACTATATATTCACGGTGGTGACAGGTGTAGGAAAAAGAAAGTCCAGGAATTATTTGTTGACTGTAATGATAAGTTCATGGTACAGAAGTAACAGTAAAAACAGTGAACATAACAGTAGAGTGAAAAAATCTGTAAATACAGTATTTTCCTTTCTGTGAAACAGGTGTTCAAATAAAGGTAGCAATGAAGTTCATTCACCCCTTTGACCTAGTTTTTAGATTCAATTATCTCAATCATCATACGAGTGTGGTATTGTATTACATTATGTTTTTCTTTCTTGTTGCCCCTCTTGTACAAACAGTAACCCATTAAGGGCTACTATTGAACTTTTTTTTTTGAAAGAGAAGCTTTCTCAAATATTGAAGGAGCCATCCAGCAAGCATTAAAGGTTTCCTATCAAACAATATCAGTAGTTGATACAGCATGGTTTTATATGGCTTAAGGGTCATATTTCATTGTCAGCCTCCATCTGTTTTTTAATGCTATCTAATATAAAAACATTGCATCTCGTTTAAATCGTCTATTTTGACTCACCTGTATTTGGCTCCTCATTTTTAGGTGTTTTGCTTGTCACTGCTGAGACAGCACTGAATTTCAAAGTTGAAAAGAAAAAAAATTGCTGATTTATGAATGAGTCTTAATTTACAAAAAAGTAATAAGTAATACATGTATATAAGTGCACTGTTATGTAGTAATAATATCTATAAGGACATTTTTTTATAATAGTACATTGTAAACCATAACACAATGTACAACAAACCATTTTTGTTAGCGTTAGTGCTATAAGTTACTGTAGTTACTGTTACCAGTATATAGTAACAAAAAATCTAAAGACAATATCATTTTGTTTTATATATAGTATATAACATATACCATAATACAGGTACGGCAAACCCTTAGTGTTAGTATTACTGTTTTATACTATTAGTTACTATTGGGAAAGAAATATAAAGACTGTGTTTACTGTATAGTATAATGTACACTCTAAATACAAGCATAACAAACAGTTACTAAAGAAATTCCTCTTGGATCTTTTAAGTACAACAAACAGTAGGTCTGCTTAAGGAATAACACAGGTGATCTAAACACAGGTGGGTTTCCCACAGGTGAGACAAGAACAGGTGTTAACAAGACCCAATCCTCGAGGCAAACACAGTAAGGTCCACAGTAAGTAAATTTTATGGATGACATCAACGCGCACATTAATTAAGCATGATTTTCAAGAAAAAAAAAAAAGAAATTTTGTTGCCTTCTGACAGTGGTCAATATGCTGAATGTCTATTGTAACAGTTGCCATGCCGGAAGGTGGATGGCAGATAACTATGAAGAGAGGAGACAAGAAAAGGCTCTGATTTAATGTTTTGTTTCTTACTTTCATGCAGTGATATGTGATGCTGGCTGTGTATATGTGATGTTCCCACTGAATCAAAACCATTTGTACAATGTGTTTGTGAAGATTAATCATCCAGGATAATACTAATAAGAAAAGTTTGAATCTTTACTATCATTACCTCCGGGGAAGGAGACATCCTTCCGTGAGGAGGTTTTACTATTGTTCGAAACATTTCTGTCAGCAGCTGTTTCTCGCGATCGGCTGGACGGATTGGTCTGTTGTTCGGTGTACGTATTGCTATTGGGCTGCAGATGATGCAGAACGTTTTTGTTTAATTGTATATGTGTTTATGGGCGTCGAAATAAAAGGTTTTTAAGTGCTCCGGACACCCCCGCCATGCTGAAAATGGAATTTACCATGTTGTTAAGGAATGGGGAGGTTTCAGTTTTGGGTCTTACCATTTAAAAGGGGTCAAACAGAGGGGTGTCTGCTTCCGATATGTATTTTGAAATATTATCGCAGTTGTATCTCGCGTTGGGGTAGACTGGACTCGGTGTATGTTCTTCTAATGGGCTGTAGATGGTGCAGGTTTTTTTGTTTTTATTGTATATGTGTTTTGGGGCGTAAAAATCTGAAAATGGTTGCGCGCGGCGCTGGGCTGGCTGCCAGCGCAACTTCCGGGTGGGCCAATGGGTCAGGGGTCAACGCCGTCTTGCGCAATCTTGGATGTTTTCGGCGTATAGTACGACTTCTTAACTTACAAATACCGTGGTATACTGTATCAGACGTTCTCGACATGCATTTTTACCGTGGGTACATGGTATGGGCTGCAGATGAAAATGTTGACCAGTCCTGTATTAACACAACCAGGAACGCTAAATCTAACACATAAAATTCAACACCATCAACTATACAGAACAAACAACATGGAAAAATATACAATAAAAAGCCCAGAGGTATAAAATCTCTGAGATTTTACTTGTTTGTTAATTAAAGATTAATCATCCAGGATAATACTAATAAGAAAAGTTTGAATCTTTACTATCCAAAAGGACAACAACCGCCAGCCTTCTATGGACTTCCAAAAATACATAAAAATAACATCCCTCTTCGGCCAATTGTTTCCAGCATAGGATCGGTGACTTATCAACTTGCACGGTTCTTAGCCAACATCATTGGTCCTCTGGTTGGTAAATCAGAACATCATGTAAAAAACAGTGAAGACTTTGTCAACAAAATCAAGGATATTTGTGTTGAAAATGATGAGATTATCACATCCTACGATGTATGTTCACTGTTTACCTGCATACCCCCTAAAGGAGCTGTTGAAGTGGTAAGAGAATTCCTTGAAGCTGATGACACCCTGAAAGAGAGATCTAAATTGTCAGTCAACCAGATCTGTCAACTCTTGGAACTTTGCCTTGAATGTACATATTTTACTTATGATGGCAAGTTTTACAAGCAAGTACAAGGTTGCGCTATGGGTTCTCCCGTATCTCCTATCGTGGCCAATCTCTACATGGAGAAGTTCGAACTTAAAGCTATCAATAGCTTTCCTGGTACCCCTCCTGCCAACTGGTTTAGATACGTGGATGACACATGGTGTCGGCTCAAGAAGGGATTGGCGGACAGTTTTTTCGAACACATTAACAAGGTTGACAAACATATCAGCTTTACTCAGGAGACCAGTCAAGATAACACACTACCTTTCTTGGATGCCAAACTACATGTAGAGACAGACGGTCACATTGAGGTGGAGGTTTATCGTAAACCTACTCACACCGATCAATATCTCATCTTTGATTCTCACCATCCCTTGGAACAGAAACTTGGTGTGATAAGAACCTTGTTTCATCGAGCAGACACCTTGATTACTTCGGCTGAAGCCAGAGCCAAGGAACATACTCACCTCAAGAAAGCTCTATCCAAGTGTGGATATCAACAATGGACTTTTAACAAAGCACTTAAGCCTTCCGACTCATCTAAGAAGACGTCAAGAAACTCACAGTTAGACAGGACTAAAACAGTCAACATTTCCATCCCATACATCCAAGGAGTTTCGGAGAAGATAAGACGTATCTTACACAACTACAACATCGCCACCAATTTCAAACCATGTCGCACTCTCAGACAGATGTTGTTTCATCCAAAGGACAAACTTAAAAACTGTGTGAAATCGGATGTCATTTACAGACTAAAATGTGAAGATCATCAATGCAAAGAAACGTACATCGGGGAGACCAGTCAGCCGCTCAAGGAAAGATATAAGCAACACTGCAGGGCCAGTAACAGTGGATTTTCTTCGGCCATATGGCACCATCTGGACAAACATAAAGGACATTCTTTTCATCTTGAATCAACGGACATCTTGGACCGGGAGGCGCGCTGGTTTGAGCGTGGAGTCAAGGAGGCGATTTATGAAAGACTTTATAAACCATCACTCAACAGGAAGGGAGGACTTAGAGTTGAACTTTCAAGTACATGGGATTCTACTTTACAGCATATCTAGGGACTCACTTATCTTTATCATTACATTAGTTAATACTTTACCATGTGTATTGCATATAGAATCTATAGAACGCTTGTTGCTAACTTATTATTTGTTTATTTAGAACATAAATACTTTTAGAATTAACGGTGCCGTTCCGAGTTCTACCGCAATTTTGAATATTTCACTGATGAAAGATGCCGGACGGCGTCTGAAACGTCTGACATTATTTTCTTATTTTATCCAGAAGTAAAGATTCAAACTTTTCTTATTAGTATTATCCTGGATGATTAATCTTCACAAACGTACTTATAGGTATGGTTCATTTCAACTTCAGCAACAACTTAAAACGTAGCAGGTCTCGAAATACTTGGACGAAAACTAACTTAAATGAGCTCAATATAATGTGGAAACGAACAAGACGAATACAAAAGTACAAGATCACCTTGAATAAAATGACACAAAGGCATGGTTGGGTATTTGTTGATATTACGGTAATGACTATCAGAAAAGCATTCCCTGACTAGCAAAACTAAATAAAGTCAGACGAAATAGGGCAGCAATGGCTTCTCAATAAAAGGTAAAGTAGAAAAGTGGTAAAAATTGATTTTGCTTGATCTACCTCCAGGGCGTGGGTGGTTTTTATCTACTTGGTGCTGTTCGGGTAAGAAACAGGATTAGTTTCAAACCGAAGGATTTAGACACAGCAGTATACAGATCGATCAAGTTATCTTCTTAGATTGAATATGCATATAGAAAATGAGAAGTTCGTGTTTCAATTTTACTAAACAGTTTTTATGGTAGCCTGTCTATGTTAGCACATGATATCAACTTGAAGGTTACGGTAATTTCCAGCCAAATTATTGCGTGGTGATTTTTTTTGGTAAAGAAATTTCACCAAAAAATTTCAGTTGTTTCTAAATGCACTTGATCCGTTGTTCAAGAAAATTGCTGGATGAATGACAAATATGACAATAGTTGGACGAAAGACAAAGACACCTTAAAGGAAAGTTAAATTCCACCATATAATTTCATTGACGAATTTGTACAATGATTGCGTCCAATTTTTAAATTGTAGGAACCTTGTTTTTTTTGGCCTGCCTTGTTTTTTTTTTCTCCCGCTCGCATTAGATTTAGAGTCTGCAGAGGATGTCATCCATAAAATTTACTTGCTGTGGCCTAAGGTCCACAGGTCGTGGTAGCCACTATAAACATACATGACAATCTGTGTGTTGTATATAATAACTGACTGTGGTGCTGGCATTTGCTGTGATAACATGGAGGAAGAAAAGGTCAGGTTAAATAACTGGGTATAGTGTGCTTAATAAACACCCACTAGGGCTGTTCCATTTGATAAATATCAGGGGTAGGACGATAATACTAGTACCCAGGGAGAAATTCGTCTTATCTTACAGTAGCGTTTCAGTAATTGCCAGTATCATGTCAGTAATGTCAGTAACCGTAAGTAAGGGATCAGTCTGGATAATTCTTGAAGGTAGCATCATTACTTGAGAGTTGCATTACCATCGTGACATTTTAAGCTACTTTACTGACATCTTATTGAAATGAGACTGTCAGTAACTGGTCAGTTGCTGACAGTCAAATATCAGTACTGGAGGTTTGCTAAGGGTGTTCCATTTGATAAATATCAGGGGTAGGACAATAATAGCCACCAGTGCAGGGAGAAATTTGTCTTAGTTACTTGTAACTTACAGTAGCATTTCAGTAATTGCCAGTATCATGTCAGTAATGTCAGTAACCGTAAGTAAGAGATCAGTCTGGATAATTCTTGAAGGAAGCATCTGTGAGTACTTGTGAGTTGCATTACCATCGTGACATTTTAAGCTACTTTACTGACATCTTACTGAAATGAAACTGTCAATAACTGATTAAAAAAAAGATCAAAGATGTTATAAGCTTGAAAGAAGTAATGTCATACTCCATAATAAGGATGTTACACTGTTCATGTATCCAAGGAGCTCTAACCTCCTCGATGTATCCTACAAATTATAATAACTGTCAGTTACAGTTAAAAGTTCCCCCAAAGAAGCTGTGAGATCTTGTTATATATCCTAGCTGATTGCTTCTAACTTCGTTGGACCTTGTAGAAATAGATACACATGATCAAAGGAACTGAAGCTTGAGAAATCTCCTTTTATAGTCACACAGCAGTTCTCAATTCTTTTGAATCCTTGTAATCAAATTTAGGGTGCTCATAAAAGGGCTATAACCTAATAAACTTGTAATAGAAAGCATTTTATATAACGCCCATGATTAGACTTATACAACAATTTCACCCTTACTACTACATGTAGTAGGTAGTCTGAATTATACAATGGATTGGCTGAAAAAATAGTCATTCAGAAGAAAACTGCAAACTTGACAAAATTTTCTAAAATTAAGTGTTGCCAAGATGGATGGAAGGAGGTCATTGGTGGCCAATGCTCCAAATGGGGCCAATGGTTGCCCTTGTAAGTAAGACTAAGTAAGTAAGTACTTAAGGCCAAACTTTCCCATTTCTGTAAGGCCACACCAAGTAAATTTTATGGATGACGTCCTTTGGAGACCCTAAATCTAATGCGAGAGGGCGAAAAAAAACAAGAAAGGCCCTGAAAAACAAGATGCCTAGATTAGAAATAAACTAAGAGACGATAAATGTTAGGACACAAATTGAATGAGGTGACACAGTGTAACAAGCAAGAAGTCTTTTATTCATCATCAAAAAAGCAATGAATCAGGTGGAACAGCAGTTATCGTCCTGTCCTGTTTTTTTCATCACATTTTTGCAGGCCTGCAGAAACAAAGCATGCGCTCTTTACCCATTTGGCGTTACGGGTTTCACGTCAACCTAACGATTTGTGGCACTGTCATGACTCTTTGGTCATAGTTACAGGAAGTGGAATTTCTTGTTTTTTTTCTAGGAACAGGCCCAAATCAATGCGCGCGCGGACGTCATCCATAAAATTTACTTGGTGTGGCCTAATAGCTATATAGTAGAAAAGATAAGAACAATGAGGTTAGAAATCTAGATTTTTTTAAGTCTCCTTGATGAAAACATCTATTTTCTTCTTGCGCAAGATAAACAAATGGAGTTTTTTTTTAAATCTAGCAATAATTTTTATTTGCTTTCAAATCGTACTGGAAAAAAAGGAATGATGACAGTCATATAGGTACATGCACCAGTTTTCATCCAGACATTTAAAAGCAAATTAACCCTTCAAGTTATAGGGTTAAATCACTTTTAAATGTCTGGACGAAGGCCTCAGGTGCTACAAACACCCACAAAATTGATATTGCCACTATGGTAGGTAATTCAGTAACTGTCATAACACCCTTATAAATAGGATTTAGTTCAGTTGTGTAACTTAGGCCATGTTGATTTGATTGTATGAATGACATCCATGTGCGCATGAATATTCGTCAGTTTCCAAAAAAAAAAGTTTTTGACCATACTGTAAATTATACAAGGCAGCTGCAAAATGAGCAAATATGTGCCGTGAATTGCAAATAAAACACAGGAAAACGATACGTGGAATGTCGTAGAATGCCATGTAACAGTTACATCTGCAGTATAGGTTGGAGCGATAAAATTTATTATGGGAGCCAGACTAGTATCGGGCCGTTAGCCCGTTCCCTTCGGTCCCCAAAAGCACTGCGCCCGCCTATCCAAATTACCGCTACGGGAGAATTGAGTCCGGTGGGAGTTGGTCCATTTTTGTGATTCAATTAAAATATTCAGAGTGAAAAACCGCCCCATTTGTATCTTCATTGTACCTTCTTAATTGTACAGAATCGTCCGACAAACAAGATAGTAAAGAAAGAACCGGACCAGTGAAGCATGATGTGGGCGCCAATACACATCAGGCAATTCACTGACATGACAACCTACACGTATATTCTGTTTACAAAATGTGTGCCTAAGGCCACACCAATTTAATTTCTTGGTTAACGGATTCGCCGCTTCATTTTTTTCTGATTTGCAAATAAAAATAAAAATTCAGAATTAAATGCAAGATGCTCATATTTTGCCCTGAACAGTTGAAAACAGTCCTTTTCTTGCTACTTGTTACAGTCATCCCATATTTCAATGCAGTGGTATCATCAAAAGTTCAAAATTCATTGTTTAAATTTTGAACCAGCCTGGTGTGTTGACTTCATGTCTCCTATTGTAACCATTTTGGGCAATAATAGGATGCCTAGGCCTGTTTTTATTTTAATTTTTTTTTCGCTCGCCCGCTCCATTATTTTTCTACAAAAATCCGTTAACCAAGAAATTAAATTGGTGTGGCCTAAGCAAGGAATGTCCTTGGAATATATGATCTATGAGTCCAAATTTCGTGTCCTTGCATATTCCACAGCGAACAAACAACAACAAAACTTCTCTTTAAACCTGACGAATTTAAGAATTATAGCTGGTGACTTTTACACCCCACCAACGTTAAAATGAATAAAAGATTAGCCTTCATAGCATGCCAAAAACTGGGGGTTTTGGGGGTCTTTGATTCGCTATTTTCTGATTGCATATAGACAAGCCGGCCTGGTTGAATTACCCCCGTTTTTTAAATTAGAAAACAGCCGAAGACCACCAAATTCCCAGTTCTATAAGCCTGCTACGGAGGCTAATAAAAGATCTTGTCTGGCCATGCTGAAGACTTACCTAAGCTTTGCTGCTGTGTTCTTTTTCCGCTTTGAGGCAGCCGACCCCATAGTGTCGTCTGAGAAACAAGCGACGTCTTTTCTGACAATTCCCACCCCGTCCTTGGTCCTACAGACACTTGTTGATCCTATGTTGTTTACGCCAGCAAGTTTACGCAGCCTTCCAACTCTCTGGCCAGGGCTCTGGCGGCGTCTCCAAAATATCCCACTGTAATATAACTGTCTAAGCGCGATTTTTATACATTTATTATAATTTACAAACGTCTGGTAGCGCGCTGCACGCGGCTCCCTCAGAAAAGTCCGAATGTTGAATCACCAACCCTCCGACAACACAACACGCCCGCGGCCCCAATTTAACTATGCTGACTATTAGAAGTTGATAAGGGACCGTTCATTTTTAATTTGTAGGGTTTGGGTAATGGGTGGGTTTATCTTTGCATTTAATGTTTGTATCTTATCGATAAGGCCACAGCAAGTAAATTTTATGGATGGCATCCTCTGCAGACTCCAAATCTGCACTGGAAGAGCACTAATGCGATAGAGCAGGCGAAAAAAAAAAACAAGGCGAGCCGAAAAAAAGCCTACAAACAGGCCAAAAATAACCCAAACCTCTGTTGTGTTGGGTGAAAAAAAATTCCAGTGCAAAAAAGAAACCCCGATAAAAAAAGCCTAAAAACACATCAAAAATAACCAAGACCTTTGTTGTGTTTGGTGGAAAAAAATTCCAGTGCAAAAAAAAAACAAACAAACAAACAAAAAAATTGACAAAAACACGCCAAAAATAACCCAAACCTCTGCTTGTAGATTAGCGAACTGCCCCCAAACTTCCCCTCAGGCAGACGACTTTACCCTCAGATGCCGTTGCCATGGCAGCGGTAAACGATTAGACAGCGCCGCCGTTTGATAGGTCGTTTGATACCACAACTTCCGCTTTTCTCCCACGTCAACGGAAATGCTTTGAACACTTGTTTGACATGACGAATCAATGTGAATAACATGATTAAACGGATGCGACAGTCAGTAGGATTTGACGTTTTCGGGTCGGTGTTTCCGTCAACAAAATTTTCTGTTTATACAAGGCAGGTAAATATCTATATAGGTGGGCTTTGGAAGGCACGCAGGACAGCTTTAAAACTGGGGGCGTAACACACAACAACAGGGCCGAAAGTTTGACCTAATTATCAAAAAGATCTTTTAGTGGCTGCAAGACAGTTATCAAATTGGCAAGACAGTATCAACGGCAGGGCAATACACTGCCGAAAAAAAGATACCAGGGTGGTAGAATAAAAACAAAAGTCCGACAAAAACGCCAAAAAATACACTGCAAAAATAAACTGAAGCCATATCATCTGCTTGGAGAGTACCTAGCACTAGGTCTTGACCGACCGTAAAATCGTAGGTTTACTAGTGATTATACGTGCAGCCGTGCGGCCTTCTAGGCATCTTCTCATTGGTCGACCCGATAATTGCTACACTGTCATTGGTTGAACTGCTAATTGTGTTAAGCAGACTATTTCATCAACAGGTGGTGTTGTACACCTAATGTAACACCACAATGGGATATTCCATTAAAATAGATGTCACCTACATGTATTGGCAACACAACACAATTGTTCATCCCTAATAAAGCATTAAATCAAACACACAGGACAAAATATAATCAACAATTCAAGGTTTAATACAAAATCTTAACAAAACAGGCCATATGAGACAAAAAATCCACAATTTGTTATCATACAGTTCTGAGCAAGAGGCGATAGAATTCTATATTCTCATCACCACCCATACACTACTAGTATGTGTATGGGTGGTCATATAGCTGGACTATAGTTGTAAAATGTCTGTATGTGTTGCTGGTATCACCTATTGCATAACATGCTCTCTTCATTTCTATTTTTCCTAAATACTTAAAACCCTTGTCCTTGCGGAGCACAACAATTGTTGTTCTGCACATACAGTACCATCCATATAGCACCCTGTATAGGTACGATTTGGGGGTATTTCTCGCACAACACATCACACCGCAGCGAAACGCAACGAATGTGGAAGTAACTATGCCACTGCAGAGCAAAAAAAATGGGGGTCTATGATCTAATTAAGACTTGAAATTATTGAAAAATATTTTGCCAGGAATGCCAGCAGGACAAGGGTTAAGAGCTCATTTTTAGCTTAAAACTCTGCAATTTCAAAATCAAGAACACTGCTTCAAGGGTTTGTAAAATCATGGAGGTACTATTTGATTTTGAAATCAAGAACACTGTTTTAAGGGTCTTTTATGGGTTTGAAAGCTGCACTTTTGGATCTGCCAAATTTACTTTTTTGGGGGGGATTATAAGCAGCTTAATTAAAAACTCAAAAGTCCAGAGAAATACAACTTCATCATGTTACCAGAGAAGTATTATTTTTTCTTTATTTTTTTTACATCACCCTATATCAATTATTGGCTGTCAATAGAAGACAGGCAGCTAGAAATACATTATTAATAAGAAAGACCATCAAATACACATACATTGACACTATGTGGAAGAACTGAAAATGATACATTGACTTTTCTGGGTACACATGATTCTTATAAAAGCTAATAATCTATACAGCTTTCTCTTATTACAAACATTAATAAAGTAACTATACGATCCCACTCATTTATTACAGATAGTTGACATGATTGTACATGATGTCTATTTCAATATTCTCACAAGATACATATTAAAGTTTCATAAAAAATGTAAGTTTTAACAACTGGAAAGGATGGACTCTCGATGTTAATTTATGTACAGTTTCACAACGTCAATCAAAACATAAAAATTGGATACAATCGAACTGGGTGTGTTGTATGCCTTCAAGAAATTTCACACAAAATCTTCATGTTATTTATGATCTACAGGCAGTTTTCAAGACAAGTTTAATCTTTGAGAATTGTTACTTTCTTGTAAAACAATACTGGAAGCACATATATAGCTGCAAGAATTGACAATGTATAAATGTTGATGCATTACAATTAAGTGATAGTCCTGTAAATTTTCAATATCTGAAACTTCTTTGTACATGTACATGTATGCACATTCAAAAATTGTTATACTGGCTATCTAAAAAATGATATGCTACCTTAGGAGACAGGTAATGTGATAAACATTATATTAGGACATTGATTCTTGTACAATCCAAAATATATTGTGTGCAAGGCTTCAATGTTACTTCACAGCCATTTTCAGGATTTGGTTGGCCATGTTGATTTGATTATATGGATGACATCCTCGGGGAACCCCAAAACTGATGCGTGCGTGTGAATAAAAAAATTTTGGAAAAAAAAAAGTTGCCTTCATTATGAAATCTACATGTATGTGGTCAAGAAGGTTGAAGAAATGACTAAACACACAGAGTAATATCTTATTGGCATGGTGACTCATTTTCATTCCTTCACATTTTCTTCTTGTATGCATGTATCATTTTGCCATACGTTGTACCCGCTACATCTATTGCGCAATAAAGTTCTTCTTCTTCTATTTAGGAACTGTCCTTTGAAATGGATTTTGGTATTCTGCGACATACAGTATCGTTTTCCAATGTTTTTTTCAATTCACGGCATATATTTGCTCATCTTGCAGCTACTTTGTACGATTTACAGTATGGTCAAAAACTTTTTTGGGGAAACAGACAAAAATTCATGCGCACGCGGATGTCATCCATATAATCAAATCAACATGGCCTTATATCCAGATATTTATAGTATACACATGTAGTACAGTACAGATTTCAAGTAACTTCCCACAAGTTTTACACACGATTTTAAATGGCTTATTTCTTGTCCAAAATTTGGGTAAATTGAACTTAAATCGCACTTGAAAGCTGTGTAAAAGCTTTCAAGTGACATGCAGTTAAAACTCGTGTGAAATCCGTGTGACTAGAGCTGTGTACCTAAACAAATTTTAGGTACAGGTACAGGTACAGAGGTTTAGGTACAGGTCCGGACCTGAACCTGTACCTGAACAATTCGACCAATTTATATGCTCTTCTGAACTCCTTTAATAACAAAAAAAAACAAATAAACTTGATAGTTAAGGTTTATTCTTTGTTTTTAGCGAATCCTCAGATAAAATATAGGCAAAATTAAGATGTTTTTGCTTTCATGAACACACTGTCCTTACACAGGGACCCATTGTTAACCCGCTATTTACACATTTGAGGTCACAAATAGGCATAAAATTGGTGTGAAATTGTTTAGGTACAGTACCGGTACTGAGGGATTAGGTATTTTGGACCTGTACCTAATCAATTTTTCCGGTACAGTATCGGTACTGCGTACCGGTACACAGCTCTACGTGTGACCTGTGTGCACTAATTCGCTGCAATCACGTTCATAACCACATGATTACATGAGCAGCTAGTACACATATTTTACATGAAAATGAAACTGATTTAAACAAGAAGTGCTCAGCTTTTGCATGGCCTTTGCACGTTCAAAAGGAACAGTTTCTACATTTGGAACAAATTTTGATCGCAATTTGCAAAAGTGTAGATTGGTAGTTATTCGAGGTCTGTACTGTAAATTATGGATTTTTACATACCAGCTGCAGGTAACGTCCTATCACCTACAAGACAATTTACAATTCCTAACTCCTACCATCTGGCGTGAATCCTTCCCACTGTACCAAGTACTGCACCTTACCGTCCGGTGTCACCCTTCTCGCTAACACGGTATACTTCTCACCGCACGCCAGCCTTCCTTCCGCTCCGAAATACGAGTTCACCGAAGCACGCAAGTGCTCCATCGAAATCGCCGTATCTTTCATACTCTTGATGACCTCCGGTTCGACTATGCTGTCGTCCTCGCTTTCGCTTGACGTGGCCACGTAGATTTCCTTCTTCGAGGGTCGCCCGCGTTTTCGTCCCGTGCTCTTCCACTTCTTCTCGGCGTTCTTCTTGGGGCGGCCGCGCTTGTTGGGTTTCTTGCCGCCCCTGGGTGAGAGGGACCTAAGGCCAAAGAGACATTTGGGAGTGATCAAGCGCAATCTGTGGTCATGTCCAACAAGGGTAAAATCACTTGCATACATGTCGCTTGTAATGTCCAGATTATGCATGATGTACAAAATGACTAATAAACTGGTGGACGTACCAACCACTAAGTATCTGATACCAGCCCAGAAAAGAACAAGAAACAGTCTTGCCTTCAAATATCAGAGTTATCAACCAAGAATTAAGGTGTTCAAAAACTCGTATTTCCCAGGAACTATCCTAAACTGGAGCTCGTTGCCACCAAGCACAGTTGGGGCATCATCATTTAGAAAGCTTTAAACAACTCCTGCAATTAAATGTGCAAAGATTGAGTGTAACAAGTCGTTTGGTGTGATATACATGTAGCTAGCTGCCGCCGCGCGAAGTGCCTGCGAAGCTGGCGTGTTACGCCGAATGGCGGTTATACCAGCTATACTGCTACGAAACAGCTCTACAGCTTCGACCCTCACATGCTGGACACTCCTCATGCACATGTGGAATCCTTCAAGGGCAGCCTGCAGTACCAAGGGCCTGTCCTGTTGAACAGTCTCGCTGCTGATCAGCAACAACTGACATCAATGTCAGCATTTAAAAATCAGACTGTAGAGGACTGTAGGACTGAACCTGGTACATGTTTGTAACATTATTTGTATATTGTTGTGTTCAACCTGTAATTTTTATGAATATGTTTTAATGTATGTGCCCAGGGATACCTGAAAATCAGATCAATGGATCTGAGGTATGCCCTGGTAAAATAAATAAACTTGAAACTGATACAGACCTGCGGTTGGAGGGGGAGGTGGAGGGGTGGTGTCTGCTGGCCACCAGGTAGCTGCTGGTGGCTGAGGGGAGCAGACTGGAGCAGGAACTGACGGTGGAGTCAGACACCGAGGGAGCACTGCTGGAGCCGATACTCTGTTGTACACAAACAAGACATGCTTTAGACCTAGGAACAAAAAATGTTGTGTTTTCTGTTTCCCGACCGACCCTAGAAAAAACTGCCAACCCTAGGCTGTTTTTTGGGGTGTACCTGGCCTGCAATGGACATGAATTTTTCGAGCTGATCAACCTTTTCTAGCTCCATCACATGAGTGATGAAACATTGTACAATCGGTTTTTCAACACTGACATTGAAGATATACATGTAAGTGTCCTCATGCAAGTTCTACTTTGTTAAACTGTATTGTATAAGTTCCATCACTAGAGATTGACAAAGTCTAATGAAAAAAAGAAATGGAGAAAAGAAAGATAATCCCTACCTGCCGACCCTAATCTTTTTTCAGGATTGAAACAGGAAACAGAAAATTTTTTTCCTAGGCCTTAAAAAAAGAGGAGCGTGGCTATTGACACCCCAAGTGTAGGTCCCATTCTACTCTATGCAGAGCGTAGGGGTGGTGCCCATTCTCCATTTCAGCCCTTGGGCCACACAGTTGTGGAAGCACTACAGCAGGGGGCACTACAGTAGTGGTGTGTGTTTGACATTCCCATACACTTTCTCATAGCTGAGTGCCAAGCAAAGAAAGCAGTATGTACATGTACAATTTTTAAAGTCTTTGTTATGACCTGACCGGGTTTGAACTCAAGACCTCCCGGTTACAAAGCGAGCAGTCTACCCAATTGAGCTAGGAAAATTTTAGACTACAGGAAGCTGAATATCAAACCAGTTATGAGTAACATCTAGAGATGGACCTTTGACCAGTGTTGATGAAGAAGCCATGTCTCACTGGGCTAGTCTATTGAAGAAGACTGGTCAAAAGCTCTGGGTGAGAAAAATCTGTGTTGGAACGAAAGTTTTAACTTCAAACATCTAGAGATGGATGTATTTCGTACCCTATTGGAGCTGAGATTGTCGAAGGTTGCCTCGTCACAGTGAGGTATGCTGTCCAGTAGACTGGAGGTGGAGGGAAGACCGTTGTCCCCGTACAGTCGGCCTGTGTAACCTGTGTACGACTGGTTCGCACTCTTTGGGCTCTTCACCCTCAGCTAGGAATCACAACAAACAATACAAGTTATGACATAAACATAAGCATATCAAATATTGGCTGACAGTGTTACTATCCGTGTATGATTTGTTGCCTGATTTTGGGCCTTTCAATCACGGCTACAATGTAGGAATCACAAGAAAAGTAGAAAAACTTACGACACAAGGACATCAAATATTAGCATACGGTACATGTGTACAAACATATGTGCACTGTCTACATTTACTATTTCTACTGGTACGAGGTACTTGATACTAGTTGTTGTTGGTAATCGATAGTAAAATTAATTGGCCTTGGACACAAATCACAGCTCCATCCTGATATTGTCATATTTTACCATTAAAACTTATTCTTAAAATTGCTTTGGTATCTATATGAAGTAGGAGGTTTTACTGTGAAACATATTAAAGTGGAAAGAAGTCACATTAAGGACCGACAGTTACGTATGTCGTACGACTGCAAACTGAAGGCATTCTTGGGATAGCCGTGCATGTGTAATACAAAATTCAAAGGTCATGCTTTGGAAAAAGATGTCCGAAATAATTCTTGTTAGCAGTTGTATTGCTTCTGTCACGGTTTGTAGGTACAATGTATGACTCCAAAATTGTACAACATTCTAAGAAAGATGTGACAGTGCCATAAGTGTACGTACAGTTGTCTTAGCTGCCTCCAGGAGTTTGCGCGCTCGCTTGGTTTTGGTGTCCATGTCGGAATCTTCCAAGTCTAAGGAACGTTTCCTGTTCAGGGGTACGGGGGATTCGGATAGCCTGAAAACAAAGACATGTAATCCATGCATGGCTAATATCATATCAGAAGACTATAAATTGTAACAGTTAATATTTACAAATTACATGTATATGTATGTGACCTGTTTATGACTGTCTCTTGTCACGTGATTATCACATCAAGTCACGTGACAAGAGAACTCCAAGATGAGATCTTAATCGGGTTGAAGAAGAGACAGAGTACGTCTTGAAAGCTCCCCAGTGTAGCTGAACTTTTGTTTATGTATTAAACATTTTGTCAAAAGTATACATGTATGTTGTAGAGACTGGAGATGATTGTTGAGATATCAATTTTGCTACCAATTACAACATTACAAAATAGGACTGCGTACCAGTACACATTACCAGTACCAGTACCACGAAAATTGATTAGGCAAGTAAAGTAAAGGCAAAAATACCGAACAACTAAGTAGCAGTACATACTGATATGACACAGAGGTGACCAAAGTGACATCTACAGGTACATGTAAAAGGAGCATAACTAATATGCAACTGTACAGATCTTTCAACAACATCTAGAGACTGGTATGCAACAAGAAACAATCCACATGGTTCTGTTTTGTTTGAATAAAGTATAAGGCCACCTAGTTCTGTCCTGTTTTAGTTGAATAAAGATTATGTCAAGTTTATTAATGTTTCTATTGTTCTTGTTATGTACTTCAGAAAAACATCAATGTAAATTTGTCAAATTGTTCAGGTACAGGTACTGGTCTGGACCTAAAAATGTATACCTGTACCTGATGTTATGTTCAGGTACATTTGCACCCCTAGTACAAAACATTATGTTTGAAGGTCACAAATGATTATCCAAACCTTTGTGCTGGAACAAATGTTTTGACCTTGCGACCCTTCATCTCAAGGTCGTTCATGGTCACCTCGTTGATTGGCCCGTCCAGTGGGAGGATGATGGTTGGAGGGACGGGCGGTGTCCGAATACGCAGGCCAAATATGGACTTCCTCTTTTTGACTTCCTTGCCGCAGGCAAACCTGAAAAGTCAACATGTGCTTTAGGAACTTTTATAAAAATGACATAGATTCCATTACCACAAATTTTGCTACATTTTGTACCTGTTTTTCAGCAAAAGTGTATCAATAAATTATCAATAACATTACTGACATTTGTCGATAAACAGGAAAATTATGACATTGCAAATGTGTATTTTGAATGTTTTTTTTATCATAAATGAACTGCAGAAGATTAGAATAGGCGCAGTCTAACAGCAAATTTTGTCCCTCAAAATGCAGGAAATAGCATTTCAGAGGGTCAAGAGTTTTGAACATTTTTCCAGGGGAACATGCCCCCGGACCTTCCTAGCCTTTGGCGCTTGACATGATGTTACATCAAACAAAGTTGTGAAGACAGAAAAAAAAATTCAGGCTGACTAAAATAAACATTATAAACACTATTTCTGCGGGCATATCACATCAGGTTCTCTTCCTTACCTTGTTTTCGATGCTTTCAGTGCGTCCAAGACCTTTTCTTGCCTTTCTCCTCGGGTGAAGGCTTCAAGCTATAGAGAGAGACAAGAAACAAAGTTCTAAGCAACCACAAAGGATCCTAGTTACGTCTCTTATAACAGAACGTTTGCCCAGCTTTGATCTCCACTCTACATGATTACCTTTTTCCTGTGATAAGAGTGGAAGTAGAGATGCAATCAAACATTTGGCCACCACATTATTATGATTGTTTTCTGGTCCTCCACTTGTCCATGACTATCAAATCTTAATGATGTTCGAATTGTTGCAATGTTGACCAAACGTCCAATGAAGTTTAAATTTTAGTAATATATACAAATGACTGTATGGATTCTGTAGTACATTGTATGTATGAAGTCATCTGAGCTTTCATCATATTTTCCCAGAGGGAAACATTGTTTATGCTCTATTTCTTCTTCTTCTCCAAACATGTAAGGTCAATGACCTGGACCAGATGTCTGTCACCATGGTACTGGTGCTGTAGCATACACACTGTGGTGTTGGGTTACAGTACATGTATGTAGAAAGACAGAGTTGGACTAGGGGCTGTTCACCGTATATTATGAAATGTGTTTGTGTAAGAATTAACAGAGCAGTAGGCCAAGTGTGGAAACATTATGCAGTTTTTTGCAAATGTTACCTTTAGTTTCTAGTTTAAATGTACTTACCCTGACCAGCTGTAGGTTGTCCCAGTTGTTGTTGATGAAAGGCATGATCTCATTATCAAAGTCCTGGTACTTTTTCTTGTTAGTCAGACTCAAGTTGTACAGGACCAACTGGGCCAGGTCAACCCTGGAAGGAACAACAGATAAAAATTTAACATTCAGCTGGCATGGTGAAGAAGGTAAAGGTTAATCTCCATTCAGGCAAGCAGATCTTTAGGTGGCTGCAAAGACAGCATCCAATTGGCCAGGCAGTTACCATTTTGCCATCCAAGATCTGAAGAAAGACGGCAGCATCAATGGGTGGCAAATTGTTAACTGTCTGGCCAATGGATACTGCCTGGCCAATTTGATACTGTCTTTCCAGCCACCAAAAGATCTGCTTGGAGATTAAGTAAAGGTAGACTTTTTGAGGCTGTAAGTGCAGTTGCTAATCCACTGTGTATAAGGCACAGCATTGGAATATGGAGCCCATCCCTCTCCTTCCACTGCCTTTTACCTCCTTAACCAAAGTCGGGTACTACACACATTTTAGGGAATGAGGAAAGTCATGTAAAATATTTTCCCCAAGGATACAATGTCTAGAAAGGAATGCTGATGAGGATCAAACCTGCAATATCTTGATCTCATGTCTACTTGCTTAGCCATTCGGCCATTTTATGCCACTTTTCGCTGGGGAGTAGTGGGCCAATCTTTAACGTCCTCTCCAAAAGACTCTTTCCAGTACATGAAGCTTATGACCATGGCCGGAATTCAAACTTCCAACCTCTTAGTCCAGAGGCAGAGTTGCTAACCACTGGAAACTATTCACATCATCGCCCCCTACTGATTATTCTCAGAAGTGCATACCCAATAGTATTGCCTTCAGCCATTCTAATTTCTATTTCTTGATGTCAGTACTGAGAATAGCAGACACCTAGCATATTGTTAAGAAACTGCAGTCTTTGTGCCAGGATAAAGCAATAACACCATCATGATATTCACAAATCAATGACAAAAAAGTGGAGTAAGGGTAGCATGGAGAAAATCGTAAGACTTACTAGTACTACAGTAGTACAATGTATATGAGTCCTATTAACCAAACAATTGCAAGAATGCAAAAAATATTGAGGAAAAAACTTAATATGATACTACATATTTGAATGTGTCCTCAGAAAAAGTGTTATCTACATTTGTACATGTAACACTGCAGTTGGTTATTTAATAAATCGTCTATTTTTTCCTTAGACACAGGAGCACAAAATGAGCATTTCATCTACATGTACCTACAAAGTAAGCAGTACAGACAAAATATTTTGTTCAATATTTCTACAGAACTTAGACAAACCTTTGAATAAAACTTTGATTATATATATATTGAATATATATATATATGAATATTATATTGAATATATATATGAGAGTGAGACATAACTCTTCTTAACTTTTCACCATTCTAAGAAGGGTCTGCAAGGGGGAGTCCCGACAACGCTCTACGCTGAATTCAAAACCTCTCGATTATGCTACAAATACGATAAATTCCAGGTGGCTACAACGCATTACGTAGAATTCAAACAGCGATTACGCTCTACGCAAAAATATTAAAGCGGTCCGTCTACGCTCTACGTAGATTTAAAACGGCCGATTACGCTCTACGGAAAAGGGCTTGCGGGTCCCCTAAGAAGCATACAGAAGTTGAGATCACTTAGTTGTGGCTACTTGACAATGTATTATGTAACATGACCTGTACTTAACCCATGGGTACATTAAACGTCTTCATTCGTTGATGCAGATTCTAACACTATCCTTCCATTCCACTTCAAATTGAAGAAATTCGTCAATGTCTCAGTTTTACAAAACCCAAAAGAGTACAACTGTCTACATCACCTAGAGTGTGAAAAGGGCATCCGTAGAGATTCTCCAACTGCCAAACCCGACACAAGATTCCATTACGATAAGAACAACGCAATCATTGCGGGAACCCAAACTTTACGCTCGTAGTGTAACACGCGCCCACTCAGGAGTTAGTAGCTCTGTATAATGGATACTGAATAGCCCCAGGTCCCACTAAGTGTGTGCTGCAAGGGATTGGCTTCTGATTGGCAAAATTCATCTAGCTTTTCTTTAAGTCATTAGGGGGAATGGTGAAGATGAAAGGATCTCTCAGGTGACTGACACAATGTGGTGTCACCTAAGGGGGCCAATATGGTGAACTGTAAGAAAAGGGAAACGAATTCCCATTTGGATATGGCAATGTGATGAGATTTCATATTGTGTGAAAGCAATTTTCCGTTCCCTTCATCTACATACAAATTATGTAATAATATAAGTTTTAAACTCTTTGTGGGAAATACTTTTTAAAGTTTCATCTGGAATGAATATGCTGGAATGAATATGTTGGGATTGTAATCTGGAGTCTAGTGCAGGTACATGTAATTATGTTTACCGAAGAAAAACATTGTTTTTGCTCAGTTTCTTCCTCTCCTTCTCCAAACAAATAAGGTCAATGACCTGAACCAGATGTCTGTCACCATGGTATCTAGTGTTGGGTTACATCATATTGCAATTTTATAGCAGGAGGGATTTAGACCCGTCACCATATATGTGAATGTGTTTGAGTAAGATTTAACAGAGCAGACCACATGTGAAGGTTAACATATGCATTTGCTTTGCAAATGTTACCTCTCTAGCTTTCAATGTCACCTGCACCAGTGGAGGTATGGAGAAAAAAGTATTTCAAGCCCTGTATGGTAATCCATCATGTACTGCTATCCCAGGGTCAATTCAAGAGTCACGACAATGTGCTATGAAAGAGCAATTTAGTTATTACCATTGATTGTCATGTTGTGAAGTGTGTTTGAAAAACATGTAACATGGATAACAAAAGGCTTGACCTTGGGTTCCTGAATAAAAGTGTTATTCTCAAGGGTATGTACTGGATTCAAAGACAAATCAAACTCTACATATAGAATACAACACGGGGTATTCCGTATCGCCCGAGGTATCGGCCCGACCGCGGGTCGGATCGCCCGACGGCCGCAGACCGGAGGGCAATCGGACTCGTGGGAGGGCCGGGACCGAGGGCGATGCGGAATACACCGTGTTGTATTTTATTTATGTCATACCCACCCAAGAAAACACGCCTTTCAATGCAAGATGAGCCAAAAGTTGTTGCCACTGAACCCTAAATGCAACAACATCCGGATTCTGTATTCGAATTTTCGAAAGGGGCACACGCGGTGAGGGCGAAACGCGTTCGAATCGTTTTATGGAAGCCATGGAAGCATTCGATAATGGGTTCCGGACCGGGCCGTACCGTAAAGTACGGTCCGGTCCGGAACCTGTTATCGGAACGTTATTGCGGCCCGGGTATGATATAATACTGGATATATTATAGATTTACTTCCAAACATTTCGAGTGACATCTATAACTCTTCTTCAGCATCACTAAAATTAACTGATCATGAGAGAACTAGTCAACACTAATCACATGTGGGGGAACTGGAAAAACAGTATGTATTGGAATATCTCTTGGGTACTTGACAGGTCATGTATTTTCAACGTAAGAAAAAGTACATGGTTAAAACTCGTGCAAAAGCCGCGTGCACTATCTAACTACAATTGCGTGTGGCTATCTACATTGTATAACGCATAACCACACGTACATGCAATTACACACAAGCATCTAACACATGTTTTACACAAGAAATGAATGTGATTTAAAGAGAATTATCATATAGCCGGACGGCGTGGACCAATCAGAGGCCCGGATACCCGTGCTGTTATTTCCCGATAACAGCACATGTGGTGTTATGGCGGAATAACAGCACATGTCGTGTTATGGCTGATACCATTATGTTATAGGGTATAGGGGCATGCGACTCTTTCTGTAAACCTTTGTAGCATTTTTCTGTCCAATAAACTTTTTTGTTTAGCTTCATTTAAACTACAATTTGCATTAAATGAAATTATCCATATTTGTTTTAAAGCGTATAATATATTCGAATGTATTTTTATGCATGTATATATATTAAAGCTGTTGTATTTCAAACAGGAATTGTGTTGATTGACAGTTTGGATAGGCTATATGATAATAATTTTAATGCACTGCCTTTTCCTCGTTGTATATGGTGTCATAACTGCATGGGCAGCTGCCATAACCACCTCATAAACCACCTCGTTCGCTTCGCTCACACGGTGGTTTATTCGGTGGTTATGGCAGCTGCTCATGCAGTTATGACACCATATACAACTCGGGGCAGTGCATTAACCCTTTATTACATGACTTTGCAGATGTTTTCATGAACAAATGCTTGGCTTTTAATTGGGTTTTAATCATGATTTACATGGGTGTAAGGCCAAACCGACTTAATTTTATGGATGACATCCTCTGAAGACCCCCAAACTAGTGCGCGCGGGCGAATAAAAAAAATTCCGGCCAAAAAAAAAAATGCTGCTAAATCAATACAAAGCTGGTATTGTGAACTTGCGGCGTATACAACAAGCTGGGACATGCTGGCTTTTTGCGGAATTTATGAATCGGCACTGTACGTATGTACTGAGCTCTTGAGTCGTTGAGCTTGGGTAGCCTGGGTGCCCGGCTCCACATTGTCGCTAAGTACCATGGACTACCCAGGCCTAGAGCCAGGCCAGAGCCTTGGTGGACGTGATCTTTTTTTTTTTTGAGAAGAGGCGAAAATCAATGCGCGCGGATGTCATCCATAAAATTAAGTCGGTGTGGCCTAAACGCAAATAAGTGTGGTGGAATCTTTAAGGTGTGGCTTTCCTTAAACACGGGACCTTAAGCTTTACATGCGATCACAGAGGATACCATACAATCCAAGTACATGTGTGTACCTTCTTTTTCCTTCAAAGTCATCATTACATGTAGCTGATGTGACATGGGCTAATAGCCCCTGAGACCTTACTACATGTCTTTCCAAACCAACAGCCACTTTCCCTTGACAGGCTACACTTTTTTCCACGCTCCCTGCACTTTGCTGCTGTCATAAGTCATACCCTAATGGGTGCCTGACTGCAGTAATGTATGTTATGTTTGGGGCGAGGGTGACATGTAATTTCCACCTCAAATCCGCTGAACGGGCCGCCCAGAGCCGCGGCGGTTTACGAGGTCAACGGCACCTCGTAATG